GTAACAACATGCATCGACATACTTCAAGCATTTTTTACGCTATTTCCAAATTTGTGTCGACTTTAGTTCGCTTTTGAAAATGTAATAATGTCAATTGATATTATTTCACATCACTATGCGAAATAATTACCCTAATTATGAGTTGCACTCGATTTTCGATCTTCGCTGGTTACACTGGATCACAAATTTTTGTTTTGTTTTTTTGTTTTTGTTCTCCAGACGTCACTATCCAATTTGTATGCAGAATGTAATTTTGGTTGTTGTGAATACGTTATCGAGATATTTGCAATTTACCGTTATTCAGCTTAAAAAAAGAGTGGTTCCACTAAATTATGTACGTCTTACGAAGGTTCAAGCCCTGGTCAAAGCAACATCGCAAAAAGTATAGAAAAAAGGTTTTTTCTTAACAGCGTTCGCCCCTCGGCAGGCAATGGCAGACCTCCGAGTGTATTTCTGCCATGACAAACAGCTTCTCATAAAAATGCAATCGCCGTTCGGAGTTGGCGTAAAACTGTTGGTTCCTCCTCTTTGTGTGACTTAAGTGGGTTCATTGTATTATTAATTGAACAATTGTAATACGAAATTTGGCAAAAAAGCCAATGAAATTTTCCATAAGCTGTGTATAAATCACTTTTCGATAGGCCTGATAGTTTCTGATAAATGAATTAAGCATTACACTTTTTTTTTAACAGGGAAAAATAAAAAATAACAGTAAATGTTTTGCACTTTTGTTAAAGTCTGTTCCTTTAGAAAAAATTAAGCTTCCAATGAAATGGATAAATAAGAATGTAATGATTGGTCGTATGAAAATGCGCAAGGTTTTTTTGTATGAAATATGAGCAGAAAAGAGTGTTTGCATCGAAAGCAAGAGGTGTCAGAAATGATTAGATAATTTCTCAGAAACCATCAGAACTATCGAAAAGTGATGTACATGCGGTGGGAATTTAATTATCTTTCATTTGCCCGTATTACAATAATTCAATTGGTTCGTAAGATAAACATGATTCAATCTTTTTTAACCTGATCTACGGTACATTGCAAATATCTCGAAAAGTTATCCATAGAAAAAAATTTCTCGATTGTTGGGATCACCGAGCAATTCTACATCGGAATTGGATAGTGATCGTTAGATAGTGGCATCCATAGAACATTTTTGCTGTAAAGCAGTGTTATCGAGGATCGTATTATGAGCTATGCAACCGTGTCGAAATTTTCGTTGAGTGTCGAATTATCTGTCGAACAGAATTTTGCTTTCGACGCTATAGCGATGTGTAAGAAAATTGTGAACATATTATGATTTTGCGTTTGTTTTCTTACTTTTTGGCGGCTAGATACGAATTTTAAAAAACTTTTTATTAATTTCATGCAGGTCTTATGTCGTGAATACTAAAAACAATATAGAAAGACTGGCTTCACTTATGAAATAAAATCCCAATACTCAGTTGGTACGATCTCTGAGAACAAAATAGTGGAGCCATGTCAATTGACGTTAATCTTCTTACCTGTCACCCTCTAGCAGGATCATATCGTTGTTGTTGTATTTATGTGTAAAATTTTGATCCGAATGTCGATTATTCGCCACAGGAACCCTGCTCCTATCTGTTAAATATTTATGGGCATTTTTCATCTTGTTGTGCCTCAGCTTTTTTCTTTTCCTAATCGAGTTCAGATAAAGGCACGAGTATTATAAGCTGGACATATTTAAAAAGTGAATGAATGGTTCATTTTTAACCCGTTAGAAACCAGTAAATGTATGTACTGGACCTACCAAAACAACGATAAGGTAGTTACACATCCACACACATAGGCAGCCCACACGCGTGCCTTCGCACTGCCACACACCGGCATATCCTGGCCACTCTGTCCACATTTAGCGCCACTGAAGCAATGAATGCACGCACTGAACCTTTAACTTTTTCATTGCTTCGCTTTATTATTTCCCTTTCAATATTTTACTGTTGTGCAAATTGACCTCTTTCGCGTTGTGTTGGACTGTGGCAACTTCATTCTGTTAACCATTTCGTTATCCATTTATGTATGTGTATATTTTTATAAATAAATACGTATGAAACTATGTATTTAATTTTTTTTATAGCCCTTTAAATTAATTTTATCTCTTGCACTTTATATTTTCATACATAAACGTTTCGCACTGCTTCCCGGCACTCGCCATTCATATCGTCGAATTGCAGTATACAAAATGGTGATTTCATTTCCATTTATGTCGATTGTTCCTGGACAAATAGTTTTGTCGTGTCGAAGCGGCTGTACACGCTGCCTCTAAACGCTGATGTGGAAATTGGACGTGGCTTTAATGTGAGTATTGGGACATTTTATTGCACAAACGGCGATGTTAACCGCTGTTTTATTGTTTTTGTTATCACAAGTATTTTCTTATTTTGACCAATATATGTATGTACATATACTTAAATATTTCAATTTCTTAACCCTTTAACGCAAAAGTGGTTAAATTGATTCGATTTGGAACATTATTTCTTTTAAAATTCGCACCGTTTTAAAAGAATTCGTTTGGACCCACTGAGAGACCTATGACATTAGACAACGTCAAAGAAAAAAATTTCTGCAATGCGACCGGAACTCGA